GAAATAATAATAAAGTTAGAGTTTATAGATATAATAGTTAATATTATAGCTAATATTATTTTTTTTTTTAAAATTATTTATCTTCTAATTTTAATTTTATTATTTTTAAATAGCTTTTCCTTTAATTATTTTCTATTATTTTTTTATTTTCTTTTTAAGAGAGTCTAATTACTATTATTATAATAAAATCTTTTCTAAAAAGAATATATAATATATATTTCCTAAGTAGATTTATTTATAATATTTATAAAAGTAAGAATTAGAATAAGAAGTTAAATTATTTTTTTTACTAGATAATACCTTATTTTATAAAAGCTTAGATTAGTTAGCTTTTAAATTAGTTATTATAATATTAAAAGATTAAGTATTTTCTCTACTCTTAATAATTTATATACTTATAAGGACTTCTATAAATATTAGTTTATCTTTAGTAATATATTTCTTAAAAAGTTTATTATTAAAGCCTTTTATAATATTAAATAAAGTTAATATAATATAATAATTAAAGAAAGTTTTTTTTATTATAAGATAATTTTTTAGAAAATAAAAATATTTTAATATTTTACTTATAAATATATATATAATCCTTTATATAGAAGTTAACTTAATAAAGATATCTATTATCTACTTAATATTTAATTAGCTAATTATAAACTAAATTATCTACTAAAGTAAATATAAGTCTTTATAATCTAGTTAAAAGTTAGTATTTTTAATAATATCTATTATTATATTAGATAGAGAATTTTAGATAATATTATATATATATACTTTTTTAATATTTTAAAAATTAATTTAATTATTAACTTTTAATATTAATATATTTTCTTTAATATATCTTAAAAGTTTTATATTTTTTAAATAGATATAGATTAATAACTTCTATTTTTTATAGTTAGTTTCTTCTTTTAATAATTTAATATTTAAGATAATTATATTTTAATAATAGTAAAGTAAAAAAAGTATTTTAAAAGAAATTAATTTATTATAGGTTTCCTATTATATTAAGATTATTTTTTATAATAATATAAGAAAAGTAAATCTAGCTATTAAAATAATTTCTAATTATATTATTTATATATTTATTTTTTAATAAAGTTTAATAGTTTTCTTAAAATTTAAGAAAATTTAAAATTAAATATCTAAGTTTACTATTATCTTTTAAATTATTTATAGTTAGCTTTAGATATTTAATATCTTTATATTTTATCTAATTATATATTCTTTTAGATTATTAGATATCTTTTATAACTTATAATAAAATTTATTTAATATAGCTAAATTATTAATAAAAGCTAATTTTTTATTATTTTCTTCTTTATTTTATCTTAATAGTTTTAAAAATATTAAAGTATTTATTAGTTATTTACTATTTAAAATAATTATTAGTAATTTAGTAAATAAAATTATTATTATAGTTTTTAGTTTTTCTATTTATTTTTATTTTATTTTATCTATTATTTATTTTAATATATCCTTTAATATACTTTCTAATATAATCTTCTTATTTTTATCTATTATTTTAATAAATTAAGAGATAAGAAATAAGTTTAGGATAGGGGTAGGGGAGTTCTTTTCTTTAAAATAGCTTTCTAGTTCCTAGTTCTTCTCTTTAAAAAAAGCTTTCTAGCTCCTTTTTTAATACCTTTTTAAGGAAGCTTTCTAGCTCCTTTTTTAGTACTTTTTTAAGTTTTCCTAGCTTTCTTAGGATAAAAAGAGAAAACTTACTAGCTCTAGCTCTTTTAGCTTTTTCTTAGTATTAGGAAGATATCTATTAACCTTTCTATACTCTTTTCTTAACTAAAAAGAATATAAAATATATTTTCTAGTATTAGAATTGAATTGGAGAAAGATATTTTTTTATCTTCTTTAGAAGTATGATAATTTCTTATAATTAGTAGGAGTTGAGTAGCTTGGATTATAACCTGTTAGTGATATCGTTGCTTAATTAGGAAGAAGGCTTCTTCCTGGGAATAGTATTCCTAAACTATCTACTGTTTTGGTAGAGGTTCGGTAGAATCAACCAGGGTAAACCAGCCAATCAGAGCTTGGTTCCCACAGATGCAACTGCCTGGAGACTTGCAAGGGTAGACAGATACAACCAGGTACAATGGCACGTGCATTATTGAGGTTAACATGTACTCATCAGGGCGTCCTCGGTTTGGTCGCTCCTGCTCTCCTATAAAGTACCCTCCTGTTCTTCTCTCCGGATTGGACAGGCCCTAAATTGGAAGGGGCGGGCAAGCTTGGGAGTGATGTATGAAGTCGAGATGATATTATTCCCTGTCCGTATTTGATCCTTCGACGATGACACTCCGAATCAAAACTCGGAATTGGACATTGATCCCCAGCAATGAAGTGCGTGCTGGCATCGTCAATCGCATCTTCAATGGAAGAGCGGGGTGTACGAAGAACAGCGCCGCTCAGAAGCTAGCTGAAGCACAACCTGGACAAGCTGCGCGGGGATCAAATGAAATGACAGATTGGTCCTCGACCGAAGAGATCCAGCGGGACGATCAATTGATAGTTTCAATCGAGTGGGGGCTACGCGACAGCCCTTCCCGCATTCGACTAACCAGAAGTGCCACCACAACTGCATCCTCTTGGTGCACTCCTCCATGAGACAGGACACTGCGCTCCGGACGAAGTGAGACCAGAACTGGGACACTAAACGACTGCGAAAGAGACCACTCACGCACGTTGTATTAATACACGTTACTGGACCAGACCTCTGAAAATGCTACAAGACACGGAATTCATTCCTTTCGATCCGTTCGCCGCCCAGACAGCAACACGCTCTGGTCAGCCTCGGACTACAAGTTTTGATTGATTGAGATGTGACACCGATCTTGCCCTATGGCCTGCAGGAGGTTCTTGGTGAGAGTGCTTAGTGCTCCTGCATGGAAGCAATTTGATTTCCATCCCCGAGTCGTGGCGCCAGGTAATAACTCACATCATATCAATCCAAATCCTTCCCAACAACATCCCGCGCAGCCCTTAACAAGACTCAACGCAGCCCTCAAGAACATCTGCTCCTATTCGTCGTTCACCCACCCACCTCTATGCACCAGACGACGGTGATCTTGTGTACTTGTGGCGAGCCAAGTCGCCCAAGTAGGACGCTGAAGCCCCCATTGTCCCGGCTCTAACCAGACTAGTGAAAGGGTGCATTCCTAAGGACAAAGATCGGGTACATGCATCTGGTAGTACGCAGATGCTCGTCCCGGCTCAAGTTCTTCGTTGTGAACGAAGCCAATGTGGCCTGCGATGGAAATTTTCCTTGGAAGCGCCACGGAAGCATGTTTCAACTTCCTATCCCATTAGTTTTTCTCGCCCGTAAAGGCGACTATACTACACTAGTTCTGCAAGGGCTTTCTGTGGGTTCCCCATATCGACGGCTCCAGCGCGGAAAGGCCGGGTAGTGGGATCTTGCAGCTGTCGTGTTTGGGATATCTCACCCAGGTCTGCCGCTAATCATAAAATGCCAGGTCTTGTTTAAATCCAAGTTTGATGGTTTCGAGCAGTCGGCAAATAATATTGGTAGTTTCATTAGAAAAGGAGCAATCCTTCAGTCCTAGCTTTTGGTCCCCGGACCTTGGTTGATAGTGTTTCATGCTCGGAACGGAACACACGGAGATGAAAAATCAAGTCAGACCACGGGAAACCGGTCTAACTAGTTCGTCTCGAAGACTAGGCAGGGGCAACATCAAATGCCGGTTATTGACTACGGAAGGTGGGAACTTGTGCGCCTAGCCAACCAAGTATGCCTTAAGAGTCAACCCATCAAGCAAGAGAAACTGCCGATCGAAGGCGAGAACTAAAGACAGACGGGCCGCTCTCCATTATTGCATGGACGCGAGTGGTTCACATCGTAGTCCTTCAATTTTCAGGCGTCTTTCAATATCGAATATCTTAGATATCCACTTCCCTATGATTCGGGGCTCGATGGCTTTCCTAGAATGGCTTTCCCAGAATGGCTGTCCCAGAATGGCTTTCCCAGAATGGCTTTCCTAGAATGGCTTCCAAGCTGCGACGGTGCGGAAAAGAAAGAGCATAGGCAGTATCAAATCGAGAGCTGAACAAGGTGCTCACGAACAAAGGGCGATTATTCTCAAAGATTGTCCGTCGCCCTCACTCCGCAGGATTGAATGTCCAAAGAGGGTTTGGGGGCACACTCTCCCAAATCCCTCAAGTCGACAAGTCCGAGGCCACTAGAAGCAGTGTGGCGTAGAAGTACGAAGTACTTTGCGTTAACTCGATTCAGGTACCTAAGCGGTACAGTGGGGAAGAATATGGAAGAACGTCAGCTGTCCATCAATTGATTGATCAAAATCGATGGGCTCGGCTGGGCCACAATTGCATCTGCCCAGGGGACTTCCCGCCCCGCATTATTGCGACTCTGCGACCGTTGCGATCTTCATGGCTACGAGCTCAAATACCCTGCTCAACTGACAAACCCCACGTCCAGCGATTTGACATCACGCCCTCCATACGCCGCGAGTTAACCATTAAGGATTCTCCATAATTTTCCCTTCGTTGCCCCTTCATCATTAGGCTGTTCGAAGTCCTCTTCATCAAGAGCAAGTGACGGCAGTGAGCTACACTCTTGCAATCCAAGAGCCGAATTACATCAGCCAGCTTGGCTGTGCTGTTGCTGCTTCTGCGCCCCGGAGCTATTTGCCGTGCTTCATATGAGAGACTCCCTCCCCCATCAGCCTCGTCTCGGAGTCCATCTCAAGAGTCCATCTCATACGACTTCAGCGCAAAATCACGGAGAACCCCATCCGCAGGACCGCCCTCTTCATCTCTTACATACTTCCCAAGGCTAGCTAGCCCCTTTCCATCCCTCGCTGCGGTGACCTTCGGCTGGAGAGGCATATTACGGCGAAACGTCTCTCAAAGAGCCATCGTATCAACCCATCATAACCTTATATCTCTTATACACCGTACGCCGACCGTACATAGCGTCTTACCGGAAGCTTTCCCGTTTCAATCCTCCGATGCCCCAGTCCAGCTTGATAGACAATCCTCTTCTGAGGGTGTCTCGTCCTGTATCTGCATGCTCAAGATGTAAGCTTCCGCCCATCTCGATGTAGATAATGAACAGCCATATGACTAACGGTCACAAGGCCGCTCCGCCAAGGTGAAATGCGACGGCAAACTACCAGCTTGCTCTGCGTGTGAAAAGGCAGGGCGAGCAAACGAATGCTCAAGTGCTAGCGATCAGTTTGCGAGGGGGAAGGAGCGAAGGTATGTCTAGCCCTACTAAGGAGTAGGGAAAAAAAGGCCTGAATACTCTACGAGATCCGATGGATTTAACTCTCTTTGAAGCTATGTCGCCGCCCTGGAGCTTCGTGTTGAGAAACTGGAGAAGCAGATTCGCTATGCCAAGGAGCGAAAGGCGTCCATGGCTCTCCATGAGGGAGAGACCCTTCCCACGGATATCGACCGCAAAGACTCCATGGCTGCTATTCGCGTCGCTGTCCAAAGGAAGGCGGTGATGAAGCAGGAAAAGGCCGACTTGGACTCTCTCGTATCCGACTTTGGTCTGCTGTGAGTTAGCAAACTCATTCGGTACCTCATCAGTAACTATCTCTAACCGGTAACTTAGGTCCGTCGACGCTACATCACGAGATGTTGAGCCATCAGTCAGCGGTGGTTCAGCCTTTGCAAAGCTTCTTTCTGTATCCTGCTATCGGCACCGACTCCCTGATCCAAAGGATAGTGGACTCCCTCCGCAGGAAGATGCGCGAAGGCTTGTGCAGTACTACATGGATAACGTCTATGCCCTTTATCCGTGCTTCGCCGAGAAGACCATTTGGACAGTCCTCGACAGTATGTACCAGCCCGCCGGGGGACACTCGCTCAAATTTAGTGATTACTGGCTCTTCTGGGCCGTCTTGGCCGTGGCGTCGGCTGCCCAGAGCCGCGGAATGAACGACCCGTTCTACGAAAGTGGCGTGGATTTCATCGCACGCGCGGTGCCGTACGCCGAGAGGGCTCTCACGCCTGGAGTGCGGGCCACGATCCCTTCCCTGATTCTCCTTACGCAGTACGCCATGTACGACACGAGACATTTTGATCCGTGGCACTGCATGGGCTTTACGACGCGGGTCGTCCTCGAGATGGGTCTCCACCAGGACCCTCCACCACATGACGTGAAGGACAAGAGCGATCTTGAGACGAGGAGGAAGATGTTCCATTGCGCATACGCACTAGATCGGTTAGTTTCCGTCTACCCACCCTCCAAAAATATACACACCCCAACCTTTTGACGCCAATATTGACACACATCATACAGAGCTGTCAGCATGGGCCACGCCCGTGCCTTTTCGTTTACGGATTCGACCGTAGACGTAGGCTTGCCCAGTTCAACAGAACTTGGGAGGATCCCTTCGATTTCAGGTCACATCACCGGCCCGCAATCCAACGATCCCGCGCTGCACCTGTTCCAACTCCGGAAGCTCCAATCCAGCTGGTACCAGACGCTCTACCAAGCTGGAGATTCTATCATACTGGACGCGCAGTCATACCTCTGGAAGAGTTGCCACGATCTTCGGGAATGGGCCGAGCAGCTTCCACCTACGCTACCGAACGATATTCGCCGTGCCTTTGACCTAGAACTTGAGTGGAGCTACGTCTATTGCCTGATGCCGTCGACGAGAGCGCCTCACATGACGGAATACCGACAGTCTCTTACCTTTGAGCACGCCGTCGCCTTCATTGAGCGAATGCACGAAACGGTTTTCGAAGCTGGCCAGACGGCCTTTACGACGTACTACGACGTTATGCGCGTGTATTTTATCGGGTCTCAGCTCGCCTCAATCCTCCGCGACGCCTTCGAGCTCATCGTGTCAGGCCGGCCAGCAGCGTTACCGCACAGCGATGCAACTGGAGTGCCAGCACCACCCGTGCCGCACCGGTTCTTCCAGCAGCAGTTCGAGGATAATCTGCAGCGCAGCCTCAAGGCGATGAGGTTCGTAGATGAGACGCTCGGCAAATTCGGGGAGAGATGGGAGGATGCGCTGCAGCTACTGAACTTGTTCGGGCAGGTTAGCAGGGAGGTGAGGGGGATGTTGGAGCAGAGGGCGGCGCAGATGGGGATGAGGCAGGGTGTACAGCAGCAGCCGCAGCAGCCACTCCAGCAGCAGGGCCATCTGGGAGGATAGAAGAAAGGGGGGCGAGGGGGCGTTGGAGATGCGCTAGGGCGAAACGAGCAGCCCGTTGCTTTGCTCTCGTATGTCATGTTTTGGATGTATCTTGGATTAACAGAGTGACGAAGGTTACGGAATCAGAACTGATGATTTTGATCTCTCTATTTCTCTATTTCTCGAAATCTAGGGCAATCGTGCTTGGCGGAAAGCAGTTCTGGCACTGCTGAGACGTAGAAAAGTGCAATGTTATACTGAATAAACATCCTGCTTCGTGATTCGGGAGCAGAACGATAGACCGCTCTGGGTTTGTTAGAATACAGAGCAGACCACGAAAAGTTGAGAAACTATCAGATTTTTCCCTCAAGACCTGCGATGGTGTCAGTACGTTTTCGGTCCAAGGCTCATCTCTAGAGGAAGGAACCACCCGGCCCGCGCACCAACACCGAGTAAACTATATAGCAGTGAATAAATGGCAGCGATGTCAAGGGATCCGCCAGCTAAGCTGGCAGGTTAAGCACGATCCTCTGGTCGGCTGGTGACGGCGCCAGAGGTGTTCCTGGTTCGACCCCGGGTTGGGCACAGGTTGTAATTGGGTTTTTCAAGGTAAGCTCTGGCGCGGCGGGTCCCGACATCTTTTTTATTTTATTTTATTTTATTTTATTTTATTTTA